CCCCCACCCCTTTTCCCCCAAACCCCCTTCTTCCATGACTCATACAGAACCCTCCGGCCTTGCTAGGAAGAGACGTGTGATGAGGTTATTTTTTAGACGTCTCAACAGTAACATTTTTCCCCCAACCCCCCCCTTCTTCATGACTCATACAGAACCCTCCGGCCTTGCTAGGAAGAGACGTGTGATGAGGTTATTTTTTAGACGTCTCAACAGTAACATTTTTCCCCCAACCCCCCCCTTCTTCCATGACTCATACAGTACCCTCCGGCCTTGCTAGGAAGAGCTCACGTGCTCCTGCCACCCGGCATCGGCGGGCGCATCATTGCTGTGTACGAGGACGAGCCCACGTCGCTCATTGCGTACGCCATCTCGTCCAATGAGTACTACCGCGCCGTGCATGGCGCCGCCACTGTCGTTGGTGCCACTGCTGCCCACACTGCCATTGCTCAGAATGCCGCTAGTTCTGCTCGTGCGCCTGCTTCTGGTGGTGCTGCTGCTGCTGTCAGTAACACGTCTGCTGCTGGGGGAGGGGCTGGGAGTGGTGGTGCGGGTGCGGGTGCTGGTGCGGGTGCTGGTGCGGGTGTGGGTGTGGGTGTGAGTGTGGGGCAGATAGGGAGTGTGTTTGGGCCTGGAGTGTCAGCCAAGGGGGTAGGGGGGAGTGGGAGAGTGGTGGAATCAGAGGTGGTGGGGGGCTAAGGCAGTAGGCGAGCTGGTCAGGCAAGCCTCTTCTGCTGCTGCAGCTGCTGCAGCGGCAGCGGCGGCCATGGCAGCAGTAGAAGCAGATGATAAAACAGGAGGAGGAGCAACGGAAGCAGGATCAGGAGGAGGAGGAGCAGCAGCAGCAGCAGCAGCAGGGCCAAGCCGTGCAGGTGCAGCAGCAGATGCATGTGGAAGCGTTGCTGCCCCTACACCTGATTCTGCAGCTGAAAGCACTCGTCGCACTGATGGCTCTCCACCTGCTGCTGCTGCTAGGGCACCAGGACCCACAGCAGGCTGCATAGAGACTGCAGCAGCAGCAGATGCACAGTCCACAGCTGCAGGGGCAGCAGGGGGGAAACGAACAGCAGGGGAAGGAAGCGAAATCGATTGGGAGGCGAGAGGGGGAGGGGGAAATGGAGCAGAGTTGGCGAGCTCAGGTGCTCCAGCAGCTGCAGCAGCAGCAGGAGCAGCAGGAAGAGCAGGAGCAGCAGGAAGAGCAGGAGCAGCAGGAAAAGAAGCGTACGGGATGGCTGCAGAAGGAGCGGCCAGTGAGGCTGTGGAAGAGGCTAGAGCCCTTCGCGAAAGAGATGGTGGAGGAGGTAGCGATGGTCGGAGATCTAGAGAAAGTAGTACTAGCGATAGTGCAGCAGCAGCAGCAGCAGCAGCAGCGCCCTGTGGCAGTGGCAGTCCGGTGCCCGACGGAGGGCAGGCCCGGCAAGCCCATGCGCTGCACGCTGCTTCTGCACAGAGTGCTGTAGAGGCAGGTAGAGAAGATGGTGAGGGAGTGGAGAGCGGTGGGGTTAGATCTAGTGCCGAGCTGAGAATGCTGGCAGGAGCAGAGAGGGATGGTGCTGGTCCTGGTGCTGGTGTTGCTGGTGATGGTGATGGTGGTGGTGCTGACACTGCAGGCGTGACACAAGGGCTGAAAGATAGACTGGAACAAGATAGACTGGAACAAGATAGACTGGAACATGATAGACTGGAGCATGGGTCCGTGCCTCAAGACACGTCTGCGACTGCAAGTGCTGATAGTGGTGGGGGTGCTGCTGGCGAGACTTCTTTTGCCACTGCTGATGGGCGTGGTGATGTGGGAGGAGAGGAGGGAGCTTGCAAGCAAGAGGAGACATCATCACAAGACCATCAACCAGCATCCTCCATGCAGCACGAACAAGTGCAACAAAAACCTTCAGAAGCAGCATCGGAACCGTCACAGTCGCAGGAAGAACCATTACAAGCACAACCAGAAGAGAGGCGAGCTGGGGGAGAGACAGAGCCAGTGCCAGTGCCAGTGCCAGTGCCATCGCAAGGGGAACCGGAGCCCATGCCATCTCGGGGAGAAGCGGCTCCAGTGCCGTCCCGGGATGAGCCATTGCCATCCCGAGAAGAGCCAGTGACAATGCCCACTCAGGAGGACCCGCTGCTGTCCCGGGAGAAACGCCACGTGAAAGTGGCATTCACAGTGGGGGGAGGTGACGATACCCTGCCCTTCCCCGCACTGCCCTTCCTCCCCGGCCCCACCACCAACCCCACCGGCACCACGGGCAGCAGCAGCGCCAGCAGCGGGATTAGTGGCGGCATTAGTGGCAGTGGCATGAACAGTGGCGGTATGAGCAGCGGTGCGTCAACGCCAGTGGGTGCTGGTAGCAGTAGCCGTCGGCGTGGGATCGGCGGTGGCGTTGGTGGGGGGAGTGGCTCTGCAGCATCGTTCCAGGTGACTGCCTACTTCGCCAAACAGTTTGACGCGCTCCGCCGCAAGTGCTGCTCTCCCTTCCCCCCAGCCACCGCCACTGCCTCATCCGGCCAGCAGAAGGCTGTAGCTGACACAGGAGAAGGGGCAGCAGGGTCGGCAGGGGCAGCGGGGGCGGCAGGGGCAGGGGCGGCAGGGGAAGGGGTGGTGGACGGGAGTGGCGATGTGGAGTTTGTGCGGTCGCTGTGCCGCTGCAAGCGCTGGAGTGCCGAGGGCGGCAAGAGCTCCGTGTATTTCGCCAAGACTGCGGACGACCGTTTTGTCATCAAACAGGTGGGTTGAACTCTCCTTTCCTCAGACTCTGGCCGCCCTCTGCCCTCTCCTTGCCTGTGCGCTCTCCTCTCCTCTCCCCTCACCTCTTCTCCGCCCTCGTTTTTGTTTATTATTATTATTGTTACTATTAATATTACTATTGTTATTATTATTATTGTTGTTATTATTGTTATTATTGTTATTATTATTATTATTATTATTGTTATTGTTATTGTTATTATTATTATTACTATTTTTATTATTTTAATCTCCTATTTTTCTTCATCTCACAGTCAAGCCCTTGTGTTTCCGTCCACTCTCCCTCATCCCCGTTATAAGGTGCAACGCAAGGAAATACTGGCGTTTCTGGACTTTGCCAACGACTACTTCAAGCACCTGTTTGACGCCATCGAGTCCAGCAACCCCTCCTGCCTCGCCAAGATCCTCGGCCTCTACCAGGTGGGGTCGTGAGGGGGATTTGTGTAGATAGATGATGCTGATGTGTGGGAGGGATGTGAATGGTCCTTGTTTTGTACCAGTTGCTGTCGTGAGGGATAATATCGCTCTCTGCTTTTTGCTCTCTGCTCTCCCCTTTCCTCTCTCCCTCTCACTCCTCTCCACTCTCCTCTCTGCACTCTCCTCTCTGCACTCTCCTCTCTGCACTCTCCTCTCTGCACTCTCCTCTCTGCACTCTCCTCTCTGCACTCTCCTCTCTGCACTCTCCTCTCTGCACTCTCCTCTCTGCACTCTCCTCTCTGCACTCTCCTCTCTGCACTCTCCTCTCTGCACTCTCCTCTCTGCACTCTCCTCTCTGCACTCTCCTCTCTGCACTCTCCTCTCTGCACTCTCCTCTCTGCACTCTCCTCTCTGCACTCTCCTCTCTGCACTCTCCTCTCTGCACTCTCCTCTCTGCACTCTCCTCTCTGCACTCTCCTCTCTGCACTCTCCTCTCTCACTCGCTCTGCACTCTCCTCTCTGCACTCTCCTCTCTGCACTCTCCTCTCTGCACTCTCCTCTCTGCACTCTCCTCTCTGCACTCTCCTCTCTGCACTCTCCTCTCTGCACTCTCCTCTCTGCACTCTCCTCTCTGCACTCTCCTCTCTGCACTCTCCTCTCTGCACTCTCCTCTCTGCACTCTCCTCTCTGCACTCTCCTCTCTGCACTCTCCTCTCTGCACTCTCCTCTCTGCACTCTCCTCTCTGCACTCTCCTCTCTGCACTCTCCTCTCTGCACTCTCCTCTCTGCACTCTCCTCTCTGCACTCTCCTCTCTGCACTCTCCTCTCTGCACTCTCCTCTCTCCTCTCCCCTCTCTCCTCTCTCCTCGCTCCTCTCTCCTATCTTTGCCCTATAACCTTCCATCCCGTGCATGCGTGTGTGAGCAGGTGACAGCAAAGGGCGTGACTATGGACGTGATGGTCATGGAGAACCTGCTCTACGGCCGTCGGATCACCAAGCTCTACGATCTCAAGGGCTCCCGTCGCTCCAGATACAACGCAGACCGCTCCAAGAGCAGGGTATGTGCGCAAGGGGTTGGGTGGGGTAGGGTGGGGGAACCTGTACATACACTTGTGGTTCCTGTACATGCATTTGTGATAAAGCATTCTCACATCAACTCCCCTTTTCCCCCGTCTCTTTCCCATTCTCTTCCCTCCTCCTCTCTTCTCCTCGCCTCAGGTACTGCTAGACGAGAACCTGCTAGAAGCCATGCCCACGTCGCCCATCTTCGTAGGGAAGCGGTCCAAGCAGCTGCTGGAGCGCGCTGTGTGGAACGACACGGCATTCCTCGCGGTGAGACGAGATGAGAGTGGTTGAGAGCAGTTGTATGTAAGATGGGTAAGCATTCACCTCCACGCAGCTGCTGGAGGGACGTGTGGGAACCACGCCGTTCCCCCATTGGTACAAAAGCGGCTGAGAATCGTTGAGAGCGGTTGAGAATCAGGTACGAAGGTAATGATTCACTCACCACCCCTCCCCACCTGTTCCGGTCCCTTCCCCACCCACAGAAACACGCCATCATGGACTATTCTCTGCTCGTAGGGGTAGAAGAGGAGCGCTCAACACTGGTGGTGGGCATAATCGACTTCATCCGCCCCTACACGTGGGACAAGCAGCTGGAAACATGGGTCAAAGCGTCTGGACTGCTAGGGGGAGGCGGGGCGGGCAAGGACTCTACTCCTACGGTGATCTCTCCTTCTAACTACAAGAAACGGTTCCGGAAGGCCATGCAGACGTACTTTGTGATGGTGCCCGATCAGTGGGTGCCGCGGGTTCCGGAGATTGCGACTACGGCTGCTGGTGTGGTTGTGCCTGCTGTGCTGCCGTCGAGGCTGGTGCAGCAAGGGGAGGAAACAAATCAGAAGCAGCAGCAGCAGCAGCCACAGCAGCAACAGTAGAAGCAGGTGTTGCAGTAGCAATGAGTTGCAACCCCGATTGCTGACGTTCTTAGTGATGGTGCTGGATCAGTGAGTGCCGGGGATTGCCACCACAACTGCTGGTGTGGTCGTGCCTGCTGTGCTGCCGTCTAGACTGGTGCAGCAAGGGGGGGAACTGGAGAAACAGCAGAAGCAGCAAGAGCACAAGCAGCTGCAGCAGCAGCAGCCGATGCCGCCTCCGCAGCAGCAGCAGCAGCAATGATAATGATTGCTAGCACGGCGGCTGGTCTTTTCATGTGTGTTGTGGCGCTGGTTGTTGACGAATAAGCACAGCCAGAGCAGCGGCAGGAAGAGGAGGGCGAACGCAAAGTAGAGCCTCGGCTCAGCAGCAGTAGATGCTCGTAGTAAGATGGGCAGAAGGGGCGGAGGTTATTGCCCCAAAACCCTGGATGGTTGTTAAATATGCTGTATATAATTGTTACTGAGGTGCCAACTAGGTATTTCATATTTTGCTGTTGATGCTCGACAGCGACTCAGCATCGGTTGAGATGAAAACTGCAGGCTTGCAATGCACTTCTCACCACCACTGGTACTGGGCTGTGGACCCATTTGTAACAACAAATTATGGAACCACATATCGGTACTATTGAAAGTAAGATGCTAGACGAGAGTAATCCTTGGGGCGGCTCAAAGAATGGTGTTAAACAGCTTGGCACCGGTCCTCTTGAATCATATCCTGCACTCTATCCAGCAGCACCTCATACGTCTTGGTCACATCTATCTTGGCCCCAGACAATCTATGATATATCCTCTCATAAGACCTACCCGGTCCCTCCCACCCCTTGCGATAGAAAATGATATTCTTCCCACCCCAATAGCTGGATAGTACTGATGTTCCCCCTTGCACACTGATGAAACAGGAGCTTCGGGCCATCATTCTAAACTGAACCTCGTTGAAACTTAGGCCCGGCCAAGCCTCGTGAATCTGCTGCATGGTTCGGAACCGAGCCTCCGAACCAAACTCCTCAGCCAGCCTCGTGTGGTCCCCCAAGTCGAACCTGTCTCCTTGCTCCGGGTCTGCCTGGATCGAATGCCCGGGCCGGTTATACACCACGAAATACCCCTTATTGAGAAACTCACGAATGATTATAAGGAGATTTGGGACATCAATGAAATTGGTAGGCGGTTCTGCCCATTCAATCTCATACTTGTTGCTTATAATCACAAGTGGAGCCCCCCCTATAGGAACATCCAGCCATACTCGCCCCAGCTCCCGTATCCGGTGCACTAATGGCGGGGGATGCCAATAATGCGGAATGTCGCTAAAATGAAGGCCCTTGGTGAAACCATACTGTTTAATAACGTAATTGTAATCGTTGGAGCGTTTACAGTTCGGGTCTGTGGAGTGGTTTGGGCTGAAATAGTAGAGGAGAGAGAGGGGGGAGGCACAAGCCCTGGTGGATCTGAGAGTTCCGTTGAGGAAATGCCAGTAGGCGTGAGGAAGGACTGCAATCAGCTCGTATCCAAACTCGCCCTTAAAGGAGATGTCTATAGCGGGGATGGAGTTGTTTGGTGGTGGGGTGGGTGACGGGTTGAAGGAGGAGTTGCAGGGGCAGACCCATGCGGGGGGGGTGTCATCTGGGGAAAAAGTTGGATGGTTGCAGGGAGGGGGGAGAATGGGGGGCAGAATGGACGGGGGAGGCTGCGGGAAAGGGACAGTGGACAGATGGATGGATGGATGGATGGATGGATGGATGGATGGATGGATGGATGGATGGATGGATGGATGGATGGATGGATGGATGGATGGATGGATGGATGGATGGATGGATGGATGGATGGATGGATGGATGGATGGATGGATGGATGGATGGATGGACGGACGGACGGACGGACGGACGGACGGACGGACGGATGGATGGATGGATGGATGGATGGGTGGGTGGGTGGATGGATGGATGGAAAGAAGGCAGCCTTAGAGAGAGCACGGAAGTTAATGCTGCCAGGAGGATGGAGGATAAGGCATGGTGGAATCGCCTTTCAATAGAGGAGAGACATTCATGTCACTCACTTGAGCTACAATTTGATAAATTGCTGGCAGGTGCAGGCTCGGCAGCAGACTCGGTGGTAGGCTCGGAAGCAGGCTCGGTGGTAGGCTCGGTAGAAGGTTCGGAGGCAGGCTTAGTGTCAGAGCTAGCGTCAGGCTTGAAATTCGAACCAGCGTCTAGCTTTGCATCCGGCTCGGAAACAGTGACCGCCGTTGATTCTTCTGATGAAGCAGCATCGTGCGGTGGCGAAGAGGCCTCGTCATCTGCATGGGAGAGAAGCAGTGGATCGTTAAAAATTATCAAGAAGCAACTGATGTGCATGGAGGTGACTTTTGAGTCGACTCAAAAGCCACCTAAAAAAGTAATTCACGTGCTTGGAACAGAAGCCAGTGGATTGTTGAAATAATTAAAACACCAACTCATGTGCACGGCACGGAAGCCAGTGGCAGCAGTCGCACGTTGAGAACAACCTCATGAGAAGGAAAGAGAATGGAGCGGAGTGATGAGAGGAGGCGGAGAGAGGGGGAGCGGAGAGGAGAGAAGGGAGAGAAGGGAGGGGAGAAGAGGGAGAAGAGAGGAGGGTGGAAGGGGGAAAGGGGGAGGGGAGAGGGAGAGTGGAGAGAGGAAGAAAGAGGGGAGAGAAGGAAAGGGAGAGAGAAGGGAAGGGAGAAGAGAGAAGGGAAGAGAATTGGAAGGAAGGGAGAGAGAAGAATTCCGAGAGAGATCCGAAGGGCTCTCTCCGGAAGAGCCCCAATCACGTGCGCACCAGACGCGGCAGCAAGGCGGGTTGCGAGAGAGAGGGCGAGGAGCAGGAGGAGGACGCGCCACGAGCGACGAGCGACGGTGGGTGACGAGGGGCGAGCGACGGTGAGCGACGACGGACGAGCGACGGTGGGTGACGGCTGACGCGCGAGCTGAAAGGGAGTGAGCTGCGTGGCGGCGGAAGCAGCAGCAAGGAACCTTCCGGAAACAATCAGGCCGCACGAGGCGTTGCGATCCTTTCCGCACATTGGCCGATAGATGATCAGACGAGGAGTTGCGGCCTAGGGGAGTATCTTTCATAAGTGTTTCTGAGTCGTCCAAAAAATCCTTGCCGCACATTGACCAAGTCCCAAGGTATCTCGTTCGAAAAGTGCTCTGAGACGTCGCTAGCGTCAGTTTCTGAGTCGACTCAGATTCGGACGTCACTAGCGTCGGAAAGCGCTACTTTACGCAGCGGTGATGCGTGCTACTTTTTTTTTTTGCCCGCGGGCAGCGCGGTTGCGCAAAGCTTCCGCGTTGGTGGAAACGAACCCACCAGCTCCAGGCAATAGGTGGGTTGGTGCATTGATATTTCCGCGCCACCCGTAGAAACTGACTCGTATTCAGTTTTTATTGGCCAAAGTATTCTCTTCCAATTATTTGGGCTTCCCGTAGCAGGCTGTTCAGCCACGGGTCTGCAGAATAGATTCTTCGAGGATGCTGGGATCGCACGGCTTATTCCTTGCGAGGTAATTTAATTTTTAACTACCCCTCCCATTCGCACTTAGTCGCACGTATCAATCCCAGTCGCAGTCCCAGACCCCGTTAGGTAGCACGGTTCAGGTGGTGGCTCACATGCACAAGCGAGCCGAGCTTCTAACGATGCCCGCAAGGCTTCCTTTGATGCGCCTCTAAAAAGACTCGGCTTCTGGCAAGGAGGCAAACGCTGCTCTTCTATCCCACTAGCATCACTATTCACGCCTGTTCAGGTTGAACAGCGAGTGGCAAGGAATGTGGGGAAATGGTGGTGTGGTGAGGGACGTGCGGCGGCGCGGAATTGAAATATGAGCTGATTAGGAATTGGAATGGTCTGGAGGAGCGAAGTCCGGTTTGGTCTGGTCAAGTGCGTATTCACAATTCATTACTGTAGAGGCTGCTCCTAGCTAGGAAAGCCCGAGCACTTCGCGTCAGTGTGGCTCGGCCTACACTTTCGCACCTAACCAGTTCCGAGTCGCCCATCACCAATCGCGACATTTCCGAACCACGCACGTCACGCGGTTCTCGCCTAGCACGTATTCGCCCTATATTTGCTAGCATTCTTCATTTTTCCTCATTATGTAATCACATTCTCTTTATAGAAGTCTTTCGCGCACTCTGTTTAGTACAACTCATAACACTTGGTATCAGAGCTACTTTCCTAGCTTCCCCATTTTTATCCCTCGGGGGGGGGGGGGGGGGGGGGGGGACAGGGAAGGATGC